CTGCTGTGTTCCTCCAGCTCCACACTGTGTTATCTCTGACTCCAGCATTTGCAGCTCTTGCTATCTCTGAACTAGATTACATTGTTGTTTAACTTTGCTTTGCTAAAGTCATTGTATTATTAATAAATTGTTAATTCTTTTATTTAAACTATAAATTTGGCATCTGGTATTAGTTATTCAAAAAGTATGGTTAGGAAGCTGTGAGGCAATTTTGAGCCTTATTGAATGTTCAAATTTTATTCTGTTGTGAATACAAGAATGGGGAGGCTGATTTGATTTGGCTGTCTTTCTTTGTGTTGTAACAGCTCAAACCTGGACTTTGTCCATGCCTTGCTGCATTTGGACATGGACTGTATACCTTTAAATCTTTGCATATGAATGTATTTAGGTTAATTAAAAACTCTCTAACCTTCAGTTAAAAAACTGGACATAAATAGGGGAGGCTGTTGCTGTCGTATATTGCTAGGCTATTAACCCAGAAATGTAGGTAACCTTCTGGGGACCTGGGTTCAAATCTCGTCACAGTGGAAATTGAATTTAATAAATATCTGGAATTAACACCACTGTCCATTGTTGGACAAACCCACCTAGTTCACTAATGTCCTTCAGGGAATGAAATCTGCCATTCTCACGAGTCCAGAGTCACAGCATTGCGGTTGACTCTCAACTACCCCCTGAAATGGCCTAGCAAGCCAGTTGTATCAATTGCTACAAAGTCTCAAAAAATAAATAAAACTAAACTGTCCAACTGGCATCAACCTAGGCACTGGATACAATAATGCCAAAGCAGCCCTGTCAAGTCCTCCTTACTAACACTGAGGGCTAGTCCCAAGATTGGAAGAGCTGTCTCAAACACTAATTATGCAACAGCCTGTCATAGTCGTGCTCACGAAATCATACCTTATAAACAATGTCCTAGGCATTGCCATCCCGGACATATAATTCGGATATAATAAAAATAAAAATAATGCGGAGATAAATAAGTCAAAGAAAACAGTGACACCATTTCTTCTTTACAACTCAATGAGATGAAATATATTTTCAAACTTATAACAATAATATTTTTGTTTAACTCACTACATGTCCAAATAGTCCCAAGTGCACACAATAGCATCTCTGCAAATAGAAACAGAAAATGCTGGAAATACTCAGCACAACTGCAGCATCTTTCAGCAAAAACATACAGTTAATGGACAGGATTTCCCAATCCATTGGCAATAGGCTGGAAGATAGAAGGGACTAGGAGGATTGCCTTACACAAAGGGCCTGTCACTGCGTTGGGAGTCTTCCAGAGTTGAGGGGTGGGTTCCCTCCTTTATGGCCAGGCATATCATGAAATTTGGCTGTCTGGTGCCATCTCTCCTTAAAATATATTCACTCAACTTAGGAGAGTCACCTTGTAACTCATAGGGACAGGACACTGTCCTGAAGGATTTGTCTGGCAAGGTCCTGTGAAGTGGCCTATACTGACAATATGTCCTGCTTTTGAGCCTGGTGGTGGGACCTGCCACTAATTAGCAAAATTTGGCCCAATGTTTCAGGCCTGCAACCCTTCTGGGTCCTGAACCTTGTCTCAAAATGAAGACACCCCGAGGTGGCAGAGATCATAATATGATTAAATTTTATGTTCAATTTGTGGGAGAGAGGAACAGGTCCAAGACCATATTTTAAAATTTAAATAACAGCAATTATGAGGACATGAAAGCAAGCTGACTAAAGCAACTTGGCAAATGAGGTTAAAGGATCAGTCAACAGAGATGCAGTGGAAGATATTTAAGGGGATATTTCAGAATGTCCAGAATAGATACAATCCAGAAATTAGAAAAATTCCAAAGGACAAACCCACACCTGCAATTTACTAGAAATGTTCAAGATTGTAAAAACTTTAAAGAAGAAGCATATAGTTGTACAAAGATAGGTGGCAGGTCAGAAGATTATTCAGAATATAAAAATAAAGATGACCAAAAAAATTGAGAGAACAAATTAGAGTACAAGAGAAGGCTAGCCAGAAATATAAAAACAGGCAGTAAGATTTGGATGGGATAGGAGAGTTTGTAAAGAAGTGGCAAATGGAATATAATGTGGGAAAGTGTGAAGTCAAATGCTTCGGTGGGAAAATAGAGGCATAGACTATTTTCTAAATGGGGAAGAGCTTTGGAAATCTGCAGTACAAAAGATTCTCTTAAGGTTATCAAGCAGGTTCAATTAGTAAGGCAATTGCAATAATAGCATTCATTTTGAGAGGGCTAGAATACAGGAGCAGGATATACTGCTGAGGCAGTATAAGGCTACTGTTAGGCCACATTTGGAATATGGTGAGCAGTCTGGGCCCTGAATCTAAGGAAGGATATTCTGGCCTTAGAGGGATGTATAGGAGGTTTACAAGAATGATTCAGGGTGTGAAGGCCCTGTCATAAGAAGAGCAGTTGAAGACTCTGGGTCTGTATTTGACAGAGTTTAAAAGGATGGGGAGGATCTGTTTAAAGTTTACAGAATGCTGAGGCCTGGATAAAGTGGACGTGGAGATGTTTCCACTAGTAGGAGAGACAAGGAGGATATGACCTCAGAGTGAAAGGGCAACCCTTTAGAAGCGAGATGAGGAGAAATTTCTTCAGCTAGACGGAATTGAATCTGTAGAATTCATTACTGCAGAAGGCTGTAGATGCCAGTCACTGAGTGTATTTAAGACAGAGATAGGTGGGTTCTTGATTAGTAAGAGGATCAAAGGTTTTGGGTGGAAGGTAGGAGAATGGGGTTGAGAAAGATATCAGCCATGATCCAATGGTGGAGCAGACTCAATAGGCCAAATGGTCTAATTCCATTTCTGTATCTTATGGTCCTATTGAAAGTCAGACTGAAGAAATATTACTTGAAAATAAGGTTGATAATTTGAGTGGGTATTTTGCAAGTCTTCACTACAGAGTTTACAAGTAACATTCTGGAAGCAGTGGTAAAACATGAAATGAGAGGGAGCAATTCAGGAAAATCACAATCATAAAACAAGTGGTGCTAAGTATTTGATGCTACGGACTGACAATTGCCTGGATTGTGATGGACTTTATCGCAGTGTTTTAAAAAGAGTGGATAGTGAGATAATTGATGCATTGGTTCTAACTTTCCAAAGCTCCCTTGATTGGTCCCAATAGATTTGGAAGGTAGAAAATGTAACTCCTATATTTAAAAAGGGAGAGTGAAAGTAGGAAACCAAAGGCCAGTTAGCTTAACATCTGTTAAATGGGAGATGTTAGAAGCGATTATTAAAAACATCATAACAGAGCACTTTGACCAAGTTAAGGCAATCAGGCAGAGTCAACAGTTTTATGAAAGGGAAATCATATCTATCGGAGATTGTTGAGGAGGTAACACATGCTGTGGGTAAAGGGGAACTGCTGGGTGTATTGCACTTAGATTTCCAGAAGGCACTTGATAAAGGTATCACATCAAAGACTATCAGAGAAAATGAAACCTCACGGTGTAGAAGGTAGCATATTCATTTCCATATAAAATTGGCTGGGTAAAAGGAAGCAGAGTGTACACGCGATAGATCTTTTTTCGGGTTGGCAAGATGTAACTAGTGGCGTGACAACGAGTTCAGTGCTAGGATCTTAACTGTTTACAATTTATAAAAATGGCTTGGATGAAGGGACAGAAGTATGATTGTCAATTCTGACATAGGGATTGGTAGGAAAATAAATTGTAAAGAAGACACAAGGTGATTACAAAAAGATACTGCTACATTGTGAGTGAACAAAGATGTGGCAAATGGCATATAATGTGGAAAATGTGAAGTTGCCAATTTTTTAGGAAGAATAAAAAAAGCATATTATCTAAATGGTAAGAGATTGCATAGCTCAACGATACAGAGAGATTGGGGAGCCCCCATACATGAACTGCAAAAGGTTAGAATGCAGGCACAGCAAATTAGGAAAGCTAATTGAATGTTATCATTTATCACAAGATCTGACAACTAAAACAGTGATATTGAAAGAATGATAGTGAAAATATGGAGTACTGTGCACAGTAATCCATTTAAAGATTTAAATGCATTGGAGGTACTAATATCTGGAACAGGTGAATTGTTTTATGAGGAAGGGATGGACGGGTTAGGCATGTATCTGCTCGAGTTTAGAGGAGTAACAGGTGATTTAGTTGAAACAATTAAATCCTGAGGCGTACTGATAGATTTGGAGAGGATGTTTCTGCTTTTGGGAAAACTTAGAATGGAGAGGTGGGTGGGAGCAGATAATCAATGTTTAAATAAAACTTAGGGGTCATCCATTTAAAAGAGATTGGGTGAAATGTTTGTCTCTCAGAGTCACAAGTCTTGGTACTCTCTTGCTGAAAAACATGGTGGGAAACAGAGTTCTTGAAAATTTTTAAGGCAGATGTAGACAGATTCTTGTTAAGGGTTGAAAAATTTATCAGGGTCAGCAGAAATGTGGATCTGAGATTACAATCAGACAATCCAAGATCTTATTGAATGGCCTCAAATGCTGAATGCCCTACTCCTGATCATATGTTTGTATGATTTTCTCTCCACAGACACTGCCAGACTGAGTGAATATTTCCAGCAGTTTGTTTTTATTGTATGCCCTCTGAATAACCTGAAGTGCTATACAGCCAAAGAAGTTTTGTTATTTTAAGTAAAGTTAGCTGCCGAGGACCAGCAAGGTTCTCAAAACAGAAATAAGATGACTTTAATCTGTTTTTGGTGGCATTCAGGGAATGCTGTCCTGTTGGAAATGCTACCTTTCAGATAAAGATGCTAAATGGAGTTTCCATCTGTCATTTCAGGTCGAAGTGCCAAACTCTACAATCTGATTCAAGGACAAGCATGGTCGGACTCTGTGCTGTCCAGACCGACATTTAACTGTCCATTAGAGTAATCAGAACTGAGTATCCAAGTTAGCTCACTGTCATTTATGGAATCATTCTGAAGGAAACACAGCATGGCAAGTTTCATAATGTAATAACATTCAATACACTTCAAATGCAATTAATCAGTTGGTAAGCACTTTAGAACATGCTGAGTTTAATGAATGGTATATAAATACAAATTAGTTCTGCCTTCCATCACCAAACTAGGGTTCTGGAAGGGTGTGTGAAACAAAGGCCAGACGTGCTTCCTTTTTGCTGCCTACCAATATTTAAGGTGCAGGCTCTCACATGAAGGACCAATGGTGACATCTGAACAGTTGTACTGAGTATTGACATTTCACGAGCAAAGTAGAGGAGAAGCCTTCAACAATTTTAACAATCCAGCTCATTTGCAAAGAACCTGGTCTTATTTGTTTGTTGAGATGAACTGGTGAGCTTCTCTCAGCGCTTCCTGCATTTCTTGATATTTAGCAACTTCACAGGCCTCATCCACATTTAACCAGCAAAATGACTGGTGCTCATTAGAGAGTTTTATTTCTATATTATAGTCCTTTAGTTCTGCCAGCCAATAGATAACAGTTTTGGGTTTATTATTCACTTTGTATATCATTTCCTTTTTGTATCCATCAAGCAGATTAAAATCTTTTCTTCCAAGCCCTGCTTCTTCCTCAGTTTCACGAAGTGCAGTTTGAAGGTCATCTTCACCTGGATCAACATGCCCTTAAAAAAACAAGATTAGACATTTAGCAAGGAGGCAGTGAGCAACTAGGTCAAACATAATTATTAAAGTTTCACTTTAACACGTTTACCATTACAAAGAACTCTGACTGACAGATTTGTTTCCTTTTAATAGCAAGTACCAAAACACAACCTTAGAGAGTGACATTTATCTTGGGCACTATCTGTCCAGGTAACTGAAGTTTCATATTCAGGATACACTCTAATAAATCTCCCTTGCACACTTAAAGTGCAGTGCCCAGCACAATACTCCAACTAGGGTCTAACCAGTATTTTATAATGGGTCAGCATAACTTCCCTGCTTTTGTATTCTGTCACAACTTAGAAAGCACAGAGTCTTGTTAGCCCTAACAGCCTCAATGTGACCTGTCACCAAATCCAAGGAGCTTAATTATACGAGGTGCCAGATTCCCCACCATCACCGCTAAAAGGTTGGGTGAATAGGGGAAGGAGCCCATTGAGGGGGGGAAAAATGAATTAAAAAAAAGGTGAGATTTCTGTCTCATTGCTATCAACCAGAAACTCTCTAGAACTTTGGGAACAAAGGTGGTGGTGTGCATATTGGAATTTGGGGAATGAGTTTGGGGATTTCATCTGGTACCAAGCTGGTGGAAGACTGTGGAGAGTGGGGTGGCGGATCAGGGGTTTGTACCAATTGGGATGGGAAAAGAAACCCAGGGCGGTGTAAATCTCTTAGCAGGCACTCCAAAAACCAATGAGAAGGGGCTGCCACACCAACAGCCCACAGAAGGAAACCTACTGGACTTCCCATGGATAGTCCTCTCCAGTTGCCAGTTAAATCCTGGTGACAGCAGGATAAGACCCTAATAACAACCAATTTCCAATGAGAGTCTTGATTAGCCCAGGTAAACTGCCCAATGCCAACCACACCATCAGTACAGTTTGGAGCGGAGGTATAGGTAAATGAGTAGATGGCAGCAAGCCAACCCCAGATATAAACTGTCACACGTTCTGCCTTTGAACTCATCAGCAAGGAAACTAAAATCCAGCCTCTAGTCTTTGGTCCCATATCCATTTAAAAAAATTTACTTTACAATGCTTCTCCTGTTTCCTAATCAAAAAGGATCATTCTAAGCATTAAATTTCACTTGCCTCAAATCTTCAAGTTTCTGTTTCTCCAAATCTCTCTGTTTATTTCATTTACAAGTTACATATCATGGCTTCAAAGCACTTCGGGGTGTCGAGTGGTCATGAAAGGTGCTAAATAAATGCATATCTTTGTCTGTAAAGTTTGAAATCATCCCGGTAATCAATTTGAAGTCATTAAAAATATATGACATTGAATCATGTCAAAATGAGAATTATATTTATCAATAAATTTATTACCATTACACACTGGAATCTTGCATGCATGTGTTTTTCAGGGACTATTTTTAGAGCAGTCTTTTCAATCATATTGTAAGTGACTTCAGAGGTGGTGGTGGCACAATGCGAATGTCACCAGATGAATAATCCAGTAAATCACAAATTTGAATTCAATAAAATAATGGAATAAAAAGCTAGCACAAAGGCAGCTGTGTAACTATTGCCGATTGTCATAAAGACCCATTTGGTTCCATCCCTTTAGGATGGAAATCTGCATGTGACTCCAGATCCAGACCCAGACATGACTCAATCGTCTTCCGAACAACTTGAGATGAACAATAAATGTTGGCCTAGTTGGTGACACCCAGATCTCATGAACAAATTAAAGAAATACATAAATTTAAATGAGTTATGAATATCAAATACACCCTCATTTAAGTTGATGGTGTGTATGAAAATCTCTTTACACTCAGGAATTGTGGAATTAGTTTGGATGACTAATGGTTGCGGCCAAGACTATGCTCCAGATTTTCTAATCAGCAACGAAGGAACAGCTTTCACCATAAACCACAGACATTGGCAGGCCTGTCAGCAGAGGCATCCTGTTATTGGGGTGTTCAGTTGAGCTATCACCCTTTACTGGATATCAGTGGCATCTGTCAGTAAGACATGATGTGGAGGTGCCAGTGTTGGACTGGGGTGGACAAGGTCAGAAATCACACTACACCAGATTAAAGTCCAACAGGTTTAGAACATAGAACATTACAGCGCAGTACAGGCCCTTCGGCCCTCAATGTTGCGCCGACCTGTGAAACCAATCTGAAGCCCATCTAACCTACACTATTCCATTATCATCCATATGTTTATCCAATGACCATTTAATTGCCCTTAAAGTTGGCGAGTCTACTACTGTTGCAGGCAGGGCATTCCACGTTTATTTGAAACCACAAGCTTTCAGAAGCATAGCCTGACAATGAAGGGGCAATGCTCAGAAAGCTTGTGTTTTCAAATAAAGCTGTCGGACGATAATCTGGTGTTGTGTGATTTCTGATCTCGTCAATAAGACAAGCAGCAGGTTGGCTCTTCAATCATATTAAAAGAATCCAAATTGAGCCACAGACTGTGAAAACTGGAAACAAAATACATTTTTGAATCACTGCACAAGAAGCAAAATAAAACTGGGATGTTTAAACTGGATTATTGAAACAACATAAAACATTTATAAAAAAGCTTTTACTTCTTTTAAGATCTGTAACACTAATTTTCTTCACAGAATGAGGCCTCAGATTTAGAATTTTTTTTCAAAACAAGACACTGGCCAGCAGCAATTATTTTTACTCTACTCATTGCTGATTGTAGAAAGTATATGTTTTAATTTATCTTCAGCGTGAGAACAGTCGGCGATTCGCATAATGTACACTTGAACAACTACTGGAGATTCTAACCATCGCGATTAGCAGTGGGGAAAAGATATCAATGACAACAACTTTCAAATTTACATGATGAATCGTGCATGAAGGACAAAAATCGCAGTGAGATCTACACAGAAGTAGCGGGTAAATAATGGGTGCCTCCTATACCCCTAATACCAGTGATATACGCAGCCCATCCCTCGCCCAACCCCATCACAGAACAGACAACATCCTCCCTGCTCGAATGAAACACCTTTAGGAGGCGTCCAGTGATGCTGTCCATAGGAAGTCTGCAAAAGTAGGAACTCGATGTCCTGAGGTTTAGCAGCTAATCCAGTGTTTAACCTCCTGAAAATAATCAGTCCACATGCCCTGAGTGTCATGGCCGGAAACAGGAAGAGACACGAACAAAAAACCGGAAGCTCATCCGCGACGACCAATCAGCGGCGACAGTCTCATATAATCAATTCACCAATTAATTCAGCTGAAACGGAATCGTTCAATCCGGGGATTCGCATCTAAAAGCGTTTTTGTTGAGTGTTCTCTCTGCAGATGGACGCTCTAACTAGCGTTTTTACGATGCTCTCTCATTAATCGACAATCGGTTAAAAGATTTTACTAAAAGTCTTTTGTTGAATGGGTGCCAACTTCTGGGCGGTCGTAAAGTGATGGGGTCTTGCGATAGGTCAACGCTTCTGTGCTCCCTGATTGGTCAGCCGCTGTATGATCATCTTTTGTCCCGTGTCCACCTACCGTGGGTTCTTATTGGTCAGAGCCAGATAGCTGGTTGGTGATTGGTTTCTGGGTGGTCACCGGGCCGCCGACCACGGGCACTGATTGGTCAGGGCCGTGCGCGGGGCCGCAGCGCGCGCTGTGCTGTGCGGCTTTCAAACTGCCGGCGGCGTTGCCATGGATGCGAACGGCGCTGTTGTTACGGCAGAATGAGTGGGAGCTGCAAAGTTGGTAAGTGGATTGTCCCAATAAAAGCAATAAGTTCGACATCAGCAATTGTCTATATTTATGTCGTATAATAGTAATAATGTTATTAAAAATAATGGGGGTGGTAGCGTTGATGGAGATGGTATTAAGAGTACGTACAAGGTGATGCCAGAAACTGTAGGTGTACGCGCAAGAGTGGACAGATTAGGTCTCATTTACTTTGAGAAAAGATGCCTGAGAGGTGACCCAGTAGCGGTTTTTTAAAATCAAACTGTAGAAGATTTTGCTACTGTTGAAACAGATTTTTGTCCCTCAGGAGTTGCTATTGTTACGGAGGGGTGTTCGATACCTCTCTGGTAATTAAAACTGAAACACCCAGAGAAGCTCGCCTCGTAATCTGTTAAAGGAAGTGTGAAATGTGGTACGGAGACGATAAGAACTGCTGATGCTGGAAGCTAGAGTCAACAGGTGTGACGAAGAGTTTCGGCCCGTAACGTTGACTTTCCTGCTCCCTTGATGCTGTCTGACCTGCTGTGCTTTTCTAGCTGTTCACCTATTGACTGCAAGAAGTGGTGTAATCTGCTTCTTACCCCCAATCTGTTATAAAGGAGTGGTTAAATGAAGGAAATCCCAGATACTTACCTTATAAGCAACAAGTAACAATTTATTTATCTAACAGTGAACAAATTAGCAGAACTACTAACTGAACAATCCCCCCCTCCCTTAACCACTATTTCCGAATAAAACACAATTCTGATGGTATGCTGTTCCAATAAGTCCCATTTATATAAGCCAAAGTAATAAGCAAAAATAAATTAAAGCTTAGTCTCTTGAAATTACAGTCATGTTAATTCTTCTGGAATATTCTTTGCCTTCTCTGCTGTTCTCCAGTCAAGAACACGTTCCTCCGTCGAATTCTTGTATCAGGAATATTAGCTAAGAGTGCTGTAGTACCTTCTATCTAGATGGTGCTTATTCTGAGAGCGTAGAGATTTCTGTGAGAGCCAGTGAGTTTCTTTTCAGATGGCAGTTCACTCTCACACCGATTTCCAAATGCCCTTTTCTTTTATACCTTTGACCTATTAATTTCTTATAATAAAATTGGTTCTAGGTTGTCAAAACCATCAGATTTAAATTTAATTATGTTTTGGTATCTAAAGCCTGATTTAAATTAATTGGCTAAATTCAAAAACCTGTTGTCTTGGTAAAAATGCTGCTTTGCCTGCTAACAGTATAGCCTTTTGATACAATGTTTCAGTTTCAAGAGCTCTGTATGCATCTGCAGCTGTCTGCAGACAATAAAGCCTAAAAAAAATCATCTTTTAAAGGGACCACACACTCTTTTCCCCTTATCATTGTACAAACAAATACTCACATCCTGCCTTCGAAGCCACAAATACTATAACCAACTTAGCAACATTGTCATTACAAGATAGCAAATAAAAGTCCAGTAATGAATTCTGAAGAAACTTATTTCACCAAAATATTGGTGAGAGTGTGGAACTCAGTGCCATGGGGGCTATTTGAAATAAATAATGTAGCGGCAATTAAAAAGAAGCTAGATAAGCATTTGAGGGAGAAGGGAATATAAAGTTGCTGTAGTCGTAGATGAGGAAGATGGAAGTAGATTCAAGTGGCTTACAAGCAATGACTTGATTGGTTGAGTGGAATAGCCTGTTTCTGTTAAACTGTCCTATGTAGATGATTTGATAATATTCTTTAGGGAAGAAAATCTATGGTCCTTACCTAGCCTGGCCTACATGGCCTTTCTGCAGGAGACAGGGTGGTCTTTGATGTAATTTTAGGTAATGAAGCCAGGCAAAAGGGGTGAAGTATGGGAGGAGGTGCAGGTGCATTTTTCAGACAGTGATCATAACTTTGTTAGTTTCAAACTCCTTCTGGAAAATGACAAGGACGGGCCTGAAATCAAAACTCTAAATTGGGAAAGGCCGATTTTCATAAGATCAGATATGATTTCACCAGAGGTAAATGAAAGAACACACATTCAAGAAGGAAACAGGAACAGTACAAGACAAATGTGCTCCAATAAAGATAGAGGGTGGAGCCAACACATCCAGTGAACCCTGAATGTCGAGGGATATCCTGGAAAGAATGTAGAGAAAAAGGGAAGCTTATTGCAGGTACTCAGGGCTCAAAACAGCAGAAGCCCCAGAGGAATATAAATGTGCAAGGTGAAATTTAAGAAAAGAAATTAGGAGAATAAAAAAGGGGTAGGAAAGGATAATGGCAGGTAAAATAAAGGAAAGTCCTGAATTATTTTCTATGACTCTATATGGACATTTTGGTCAGCATGAACCTGTTTGGGCCAAAGGGCCTGCCTCCATGCTGGAGGACTCTGACTCCAAGTACATTAAGGATGAAAGGATAACTAGGGAAAGAGTATGGCCCATTAACAACCACAGTGGTAATTTTGAGAGTGGAAATGGAAGGTGTAGGTAAGGTTCTACATGAATACTTTTGTTTTTGTGTTCATTATTAAGCCGGACTACCTGGGGATAGAAATCAAGGAGAAGGGCTGTGATACAATTTAAGAAATTAGCATAGACAAAGAGGAAGGTCTGAGTGTCCTGACAGGCTTAAAAGTATGTAAATCACTTGGGCTGGATGAAATGTATTCAGCTGTTGAGTGAGGCACGGGAGGAAATAGCATTGATGCTAGCAATTATGTTCAATTCCTCTCTGGCCAGAAGAGAGGTGTCAGTGAACTGGATGACAGCCAGATATTCAAGGAGGGTAGGGGAAAGGTAAATAGGAAACTACAGCTCTGTCATTCCAACCTCCATGGTGGGGAAAATATTGGAAGCAATTCTGAAGGACAGAGTGGAGACACAGGGATTAATTAATAATGGTCAGTGTGGTTTTATTAAGGGGACCTCTGACCAACTTGATTGTTTTCTTTTCTTAAAGAGATGACCAGGTGTGTAGATGAGAGCAATGTATTTGACACAGTGAACTTGAACTTCAGCAAAACTTTTGATAAGGTCCCACATGGGAGAGACTGATAGCAAAGGTGAGAGCCCATTGTGTCCAAGGAAAGTTGTCAAATTGGATCCAGAATTGGCTCAGTGGCAGGAAGCAGAGATTGATGGTCTAAGGGTGTTTCTTGACTGGAAGCCTGTGTCCAGTAAGATCCTGCAGGGATCAGCCTTTGCTGTTTTATATATAAATGATTTAGCTTTAATGTAGGAGGGTTAATCAGTAATTTCAGGGATGATATGAAAATTGATGCAGTGATAAACAATGAGGAGGATAACTTTAAATTACAGGAGGATTTAGACATCCTGTTTAGATGGGCTGATCCGGCAAATGGAATTAAATCCAGATAAGTGTGAGGTGATACACTTGGGCAGGCCAACAAGGTAAGAAAATACATAATGAACAGAAGGACCTTGGGGAGACCTGAAGACACAGGGACCTTGATGCACATGTCCACCAGCCCCTTAAGATAGCAGGACAGATAGATAAGGTGGTGAAGAAGGCTTATTGATACTTGCCTTTCTGAGCCGAAGCATGGCATTTAAGAGCAGGGAGGTTATGCTGGAACTGTATGAAATGTTGATTAAGCCAAAGTTGGAGTATTCAAAGTTGTATGCAATTCTGGAATCTACATTATTGGATGGATGTGATACTGCTGGAGAGAATACAGAGGAGATTTACTAAAATGTTGCCTGGGCTGGAGTGTTTTAGTTATGAAGAGAGATGGGATAGACTGGGGTTATTTTCTTTGGAGCTGATGAGACTGAGGTGTTGATAGAGGAGTTTCAGATAGATCAAATTATGGGGAATAGATGGTTGAGGCAAGAAGAAACTCTTTGATTTGGTGAAGGAATCAATGACAATGGGACATAGATGTAAGGCAGGAAGTTTAGAGGGAGTGTGAGGAAAAATATTCACCCAGAGGGTGATGGGAATCTGGAACTTATTGCCTGTAAGGGTGGTAGAGGCAGAAACCTTCTTAACATTTAAGAAGTATTCAGATGTGCACCTGCGATGCCAAGGCATACAAGGCAATGGGCTAAATGCTGGAAAATAGTCTTGAAATAGATAGGGATAGTAGGAACTGCAGATGCTGGAGAATCCGAGACAACAAGGTGCAGGGCTGGATGAACACAGCAGGCCAAGCAGCATCATAGGACATGGTTTTTGACCAGTGCAGAGTTGATGTGCTGAAGGACCTTTATCTGTGCTATAGACCTCTGTGACATGTGGTCAACTTCTAAATGCCCTCTGTAATGGTCGAGCAAGCGAGTCAGTTCAAGGGCAGTTAGGCACAGGCAATAAATGTTACAATAAAGTAAAATTGATCAAAAAATTCTGGGATTTAAACTGAAGTTTGTGTTGAAACTAGTGTTTTATGTTAGTCAATTCACTGTATCTGTAGGTACCTGAGGGAGGAATGACTCAGTAATGTTAATGGAATTGCAAAAGTCAAGATGCAAATGTTAGTCGTGTCATTGCCAACTTTTCATGTTTATTGGTTCTGATTATTAAAATCATATGATATTAATGACTTAGTGCTGCACATCAGTCTCGAGCAAAGTTATAGCTCATGGAAGGAAATAGGCAGTAGCAACATAGATGCAAATCTGTCAGAATGACAGGAAACAGAGTAGTAGTTAATGGGTGATTTTTGGACTGGAATAAGATTTGTACTAGAGTTCCCTATGGGTCTGTTTGGACCCTTAAACTTTGTGATTTGTTAATGACATAGATATTGGTGGAAATGGGACAATTTCACCAGTTGTGGATGACAAAAAACCGGGAAGCATTGTGAACTATTGATAAAGTATACAGTATCCTTGGATATAGTAATAGAGGTATGAAGTACAAGAAGCCCAAGATTATGTTAAACTTGTATGAAATGCTATTTTGGTGTCAACTGGAGTGTTCTATCCAAAGCTGACCGGCCTTTGCTTTCCTGCTTTCTGTCTCTCTTTTTGAATAAAGTAATTACATTTTCTATTTTCCAATCTGTTGGAATCATCCATGAATCAGAGCTTTGG